AAAAGGATTAAATTGGTACCTGTGAGGGCAGATATGGTTATATACTCCCCAGAGAGCTGAGATGGTTTCAGGAATGTTCAGAGATTGTGAGCCAAATGTGCAGGGATAATGATAACATATCTATGCCTTGGAAGTATTGTGAGGTACTGTAAGCACCTTATAAATACCTTGTTATTATTATTAGTATGACCACGCATTCATTTGTCAACAAGTCACCGTGCATCAAAACACACGCATTATTTAATGCCTGAAGAGAGCGTGCAACAAACGCATGACTTGCAGCATCACTGCTGTAATGACATCTCTACATATTAGCGATTCAGTGGACATGAATGCCCACTCAATCATTGAATAAGGTCACACAGTTCTGACTATTACAAGTGATTAATTCTGGGAATGAGTCAAATACTACATTGAATGACAAGAATCTGAATTTTGGGGGGGGGCGGGGAAATGAATATTTGAGAGCAAATTGTAGTAAAATAAACTGAAACACTTGAAGTTTTTCCCTGCTCCCACTTTGTTAATTAATCCTTCTTTTATGGCCTAGCTCTATTTCTATGATAAACAAAAANTAATGCTTGCTGATGGATAAAACGTTGATGGTTTTGTACAGATGATGGCAGTGATTAAAAGCATGAACAACAATTCAGTTTAATATCATAAGAAACAAAAGGCAGGCTATTCTCTGGAAACTCTAGATGCACTGCAGCAGAATCCAGGCCTTCAATCACTTTGTACATCAGGAACACCACTGGTACTGGTTGATGCACAGTGACAGTTACCTTGCACAAGGACTTGCCCTTGACAGAATACTGAACTGTAATTAACAATGCTCCCGCCATTACTGGGGGCCTCCCTGTGAGACTGTGATCACCTGGGACCAATTTCATGGGCTGTGTGATTTGAGTCTCCGGTGACTGAAGTAAAATCAATCAGTTTAACAAAAATGTATCCACCCGGATGACAAGAAATACGAAGGCAGCAAATTTCCGCTAATTGGGAGGTAAACGCATGACTGTGTTTGGACAAAACAATAGAGTTACACAGACGAACCTTTGATGGCTCTGTGGACCCCCATGCAATACCTGAAGCTAACAGGCAATTCTTAATACATGAAAGAAAAGTTTCCTAGAAGCTGCAGCTGTTGGCTAGTATACTGAACATTGGAGCAATTGCTGACGAGACTAGTCCAACCGT